GAGTTGTCAGCTGATTCTCATTAGAAATAGCTATTGAAAGATCAGTATGTGATAAGCCCTGGCTTATTCACTCAGTTGATTAGACTTTCCACCTGATAGTCGGGGTTTCAGGTTCAATCTCTAGTCAGGACACATACAAGAAACAACCAATGTACGCATCAGTAAGTGGAACAACAAATCAATCAATCTCTCTCTCTCTCTCTCAAAATCAATCAATATTTTTTAATAATTTAAAGAAAAAGAAAGATAAGTACGTGAATTTGTGGCATACAATTCAGAAAGGGCACTGCTATAACAACTTCTTCCATCCTCATCTACTTATTTATCTAAACAAAGCTTCTCAGCATTAATATTAAGGGAATTTATGCTGAGCCCTTTGTTGTTCTAGCAATGAATAATTTTCATTCATGGATACACGAATTAGTAGAAAGAAAAAGCCAACCCCACCAATCTCATTGAGATGCATTTCCAGTAATATTTGACTTTTATATTTAATGAGCGTTTATTTAAATTATGTTTATTTTAATCAATTGTATACTAAGAATAATTTTAATGATAACAAGGTAGAAGAAACTAATTAACACTTAGAGCCTTATGCCCTCAGGAGGAAAATTTTAATTTCTTTTAATAAACATATAATAATATTTGTTCAGACAAGTATAAAAGGACATTCAAGAAAAAACAACTACAAATATGCATTATTTTAGGATATATTTCATGGAAAAAGTTGAGTGAAAATACAAATTCAAGAAGAAAAAGGAAAGATGGACAACTTTCACCCTGTTAAAGAGGATCTTGTCCATATATTTTTTTAAATAGATGATGGTAGGTAACAGATCACATTGGCACTTAGTTTCCATTTGATGCATTAAAATGAGTGATGTGACTTGTCATTTTAAAATGTAAATATTTAAGATACATCAGAAATGACATCTTTTGCAAATACTCACACTTATCACTAGAGTTGATATGTCAAATTAAAAGTGTGTGAAGGTAAATACTGTACATTCCATTTACATGATGTTGTAGAACAGGCAAAAATGATCTATTGTGAAAAAAATCAGAACAGTGCTTGCCTTAGGAAAAGTAGGGACATGGATTGACTGCGAAAGGTGCCCCAGGCCTTTTCGAGGTGATAGTAATATCTCATACCTTTGGGATTAAAAAAGTAAAAGCATTTGTCAAAAATCATCAAACAGTACACTTAAAATTTCCTTGAAGTAAATTTTATCTCAAAAAAGAGAGAAAATCTGTAAATAAATATTTGAACTCTAAAGTTCAATAATGTTATGCATACTGAAGAGTTTAGGGGTAAAACATATTGATGTCTAAACTTTATTTGGAAATGCATAAAAAATAGATTGACAAATGTAGAGATAAGTAATGTACCTAAAGCAAAATGTTTACAGTAGACTATAGGTGGTGAGTTTATGGTGTTCACCACTCAATTACTTCAACTTTTCTGTAGATTTGAAAATATTCATGCCCTGGCTGGTGTAGCTCAGTGGATTGAGCGCAGGCTGTGAACCAAAGTGTCGCAGGTTTGATTCCTAGTCAGGGTACATGCCTGGGTTGCAGGCCATGACCCCCAGCAACTGCACATTGATGTTTCTCTCTCTCTGTCTCTCTCTCTCTGTCTCTCTCTCTCTCTCTCTCTATTTCCCTCCCTTCCCTCTCTAAAAATAAATAAATAAAATCTTTAAAAAAAGAAAGAAAATATTCACAATAAAATATTGGAAGAAATGTGCAAAGGTGATATGTTTTTTCATAAGGATAATATATTTTTCATAATTCTTTTCGGGAATGTGTGGGCAAAAGTCTGAAGACCATTGGGTTTTTATTATAGCCATTTGCGGCTGAATTTTTAACCTAAACTTACAATCCAAACCTCTCTCCAGAATCCCAATCATATTTCCATCTGTCTCCTGGACCATTCCATCTGGATTTCCCATCAGATCTAAAACTCAACAGATCCAAATATAAATTTATTGTCTTCCTGTGTCAGTTAGAAATATGATTAGTTACAAGTAAAAGAATATAAGAGTCAAACAAAAACAAAGGTTATTTTTCTTACATAACAAGAAATCTGGGGGTAGGTGGCTGCTGGTATTGGTTCGACACTCTCCTGGTTGGCGGGTCTGCAATTCTCCTGGCCTTTGCTCATAGTCACAAAGTGTTCTATAGCTCCAGGCATCATGTCTGAGTTTGAGATGGGGAAAAAGCGATGGGAGCAATGCCAATGACAAATGAAACTTTTATTAAGACAATTTTAGATTTTCCAGAAGCTTCCCAGCAGACATCCACACAAATCCCATTAATCATCTTTGAGTCATATGGCCACCCTAGCTGCAAAGGAAATCAGAAAGCAAGTACTTAGCTCTTCTATTCTCTAAACTGGATGTAGGGTTGGGTAACAGGTGAGCCCATCTGTAGTACTTGGGACATTCTCCCCCAAACCTTCTCCACCTTCTGTATTCCATCTCTGTTAACAGTTCCATGAGCTGCTAATAGTTACCCAAGTAAGAAACCCAGGCATCATCCTTTCCTCTCTTTCTCCTTCTATATTCCTCATATCCACTCTGTCTTGATCTTTTATCAGTCTTAAATCTCAGCCTCCTTCCTACACCCACTGCTACTGTCCTGGTCCAGGTGGTCATTTTTAAACTGCTGTAATCAGTCTCAAGTCTGAACTTTTAAGACCATCCTCTCTGAGCCCCCAGCTTGACCATTCTAAAAATAGAAATATAACCATCTCTCCCCTGCTTAGATCTTATCTGTGGCTTTTCATAACATCTAATTTAAAGGCTAACTTGCTTATTATGTCATTGAATGTAGTTTCCTGCTTTCACACTAATGTGCTCTTGAAAATGTGTTATCAGTTAGGATGCCCTATGCCTGTCAAGGGTCAGATCCCTCAAGACACAACTTTGTCCAAGGGGAAAGCTGGGGGAGACTATATTCAAAATCTAAATCTATTGTGCTAGGCAGCCAACCATCTGCCTCTACTACATGCATCCTAAGATTGTAGTATGAAAGAACAATAGATTTATATGTTATAATATAGGTTCTGTTCCCAGAGCATATAGAATCTCTAATGTATTTTGTCTTAGAAACCTAAAATTTAACAATATATTTGAAGTATAATATCACTGTTGTTCATTCAGCTCAGAGATTTATTGAATGCCTACTATGTGCTAGACACCACTCTTTCACAGAGTTCTTTTCCTTTATCATAGAACAGAGATGATAGATATAGAACAATGAGTGTTTGATTAAAGCTAAAAATTTGCCTCTTTCTGCATACCTACTATGTCCATCTCTGACTCTGTTTCACTGTTTGAAGCTTTTGCTTGTTACCAGAATTGGCACTTTAATTTTTCTGTCTTCTACTCACTTGTCATTTACAAATAAAATTCACTTTGGATACTCAATCAAGAGTCCAAAGACACAGATGTAGGCAAAAATGGCAACACTGATAGAAAGTGATTGGTCATCTGACACAATACACAATAGCCAAAACATACAGTATTTACTCTGTGCCATGCACCATTCTGAGCACTTGGCCAATATTAACTCATGAATCTCCATAACTCTATGAGGTACATACTATTATCTCCATGCTGCAGATGAGGAAACTGAGGCCTGACGATGCTCTTGTCAGTTGATTGAAAGTTGTGCCCTAGAATCTTTCCAGTTCATCTTCTCTGCTCCACTCCTGCTGACCAGAGCTCTACGTTCTCCCAGAAGGCCTTGTGTTCTCCGACCCTGTCTAATTTGCACATGCTATTTGCATGTGCCTGGACAGCGCTTCCCCTCTGCTCAGACTCATTCTTCAAGGCTAGAGCAGGCCCACTCTCCTCAATAAAGCTTTCTCTGCCCAGTGCAGTGAGGCCAGGCGGCACTGGCCAGCGTTTTGCCTGACCCCCTCGCTTTGCAGTAGTTATTTGCTTACAGATCTGTCTCTACCACCAGAGACAGTGCTACCAGGCTCCCCTGACTCCCCATTGTTGAGTCCTTGGGGCTTGTTGCTACATCGCCTGGCCTATAATAGGCACTTAAAAGTTTTGCTGAATGAATGCATAGGCTCCCTGAATTTTACACTTTCTTGTCGCCCCCACACTGTCTGGCACCACATACTTTAGACACTTAGTCAACCAGAGTGGAAGCCTGATTTCCCCACCAACAGCCTAATTTAATAAAACAAAGCAGAACAAAACCCACCCCCTCTTAACTTCCATATCCACATCCCTTTCCACGCTCTGCCATCGGTTGAATCCAGCAGGACCCTGAGAGTCTGACGCCCCCTCCCCTAGCCATGTGGGCTGAGCAAAGTGGGGAGCAGCCATCCGGGCAGGACCGTCGCATCCTGCTCCTTCTCCCTATTCTTGCCTATTAAGGTAAGAGTCCTCGGAGGAGCGCGGGAGGGGCCGTGGGAGGGTCCCTGGAAAGTGGCCTCCGTGGCCAGTGCTCTTGTTCGGCGCCAGAGAACCACAGCCCCCAGCCGGAGGTGCCCGGCGACAGGTCGTGCCAGCTTCAGGGCAGCCTCAAATCCTCCTTCTCTTTCTATACCCTAGGCCACCTTCCTAGGTTTCTATAACCACCGGGGCCGTGTCCTTATCCCCAACCTCCATCGCAAGCCTCAAATGAGTCTGCACAGGGTGCTGATTAAGTGGGTCTCCGGTTCCCACTTAATTAAGTGGACGCTCCTTCCTGGTAGATGCTCGGATAACCACCGGGAGCTGGGCGCCTGTGGAGCACGTCACCTGGCATCGGGAGTAAAGAAGGCGGTCCCTGGCTCCGGGGGAGAGTGGGGACGTGCTCCTACTGACCCTGACGGCTCGCCAACCCTCGCCAGCCTTTTGGCTCCGGGTCCTACTGGGGCCCTCTAACGCCCCCTGCCGGGGCTCGCCCGCCCTCTGCAGGCCCCGCCTCTGCCCCGCCCCCATAGACCCCGCCCCTTGTCCCTGGCGCTCCACCCCCTCCCCGCCGGCTCCCGCCGCTCCAGGCACTCAATACCCGCCTGGGAACTCTGGATCCCGCCGCTGGGGCTGCAGCATGGGGCGCTTCCGCGGGGGCCTTCGGTGCATCAAGTACCTGCTGCTTGGCTTCAACCTGCTATTCTGGGTGAGACCCGTAGCCCAGAGGGCCGGGCAGGGAGGGGGCCGGGCGGGAACGCGGGGCTGGGGTCCCCGGGGCTCTGATCGCGGCATCGGAGCCGGGCTCCGGGAGAAGGCAGGGTGTTCCAAACGGCGGAGGTGAGAAAAAGGCAGACAAAGAGGGAGACGAGGGATGGAGAAGGAGAGAACGGAAAGAGACAGAGACTGAGCAAGGAGAAATGGTGAGAAGGGGGAGACACCGTGGGGAACCTCCTCGCCTGGGTTTTCATCTCGCAGCTGGTGACTCCAGGTGCGGGGACGCTGGCCTCTCCTCACCTCCTGGGGTTCGGAGAGAGAGAAGGGGGCACCCCCTTCTCTCTCTCCTCCACACTGGAGCCCAGGCCTGGCCAGGGCGTTGGAAGGGAAGACCCTCCCTGCACCCGGGCTGCTGGGGGTGGTGCCCCCGTGAGTCCACACACTCGGAGGAAGGCTGTGACGGTTTTGTGCTGGAAATTGGGAGTAGGAGAGAAAATGGTATAGGAGGGGGAGAGGGTCGTCCTTTTTCTGAGTATTAGGGATGGTCCAGCTGAATGTGAAGAGGCGGTGATGTTCTTCTCTAAAGGGGACCCGCGGAAGGGAGGGGCGGCAGCATCTCCCCCAACCCCCAAACCGCAGCCTCTGCTCCATACTAATGCTCCAAGGGATGATCTCATTCAACTTTGCATTGAATGAACAACATTCTCGGGACTAGTGGTCCACTGAGAGACAGAGCCGTGACCCCTGCCTCCTATATTACTGGGACAAGACTAGGGCTAGACCATCCCTAGATCCCTAGATACACCATCTCAGGCCCTAAAGGGCTGTGGGATAAGGTCTGAAAATTGTCTGGTTTGCACATCCCCTCTTGGGCTTCCTCAAGAGAATGCCAGCCAGTATAACTGCTCAGATAGACTCAGAAGGAAAATACAGATCTTGCTTTGGGTAAAGAAGTTCTTGAGCCAGGAGGGAGCCACAGGGGCCTGAGTGCTTCCAAACAACTGGGATGGAGGAGGTGGTGGTTGTCCTAACTGCTCTGGGGAGGTTGTCTTCCTGTGACTGCAGCTAATCAATTATTGAATGACGGGCTCTGCTTGTGTCTGCCAATCCATTAGCCCAGATGCCCGGATGACTCCAGCAACTCAAGTTCTCAGAGGCCAACTTGCCATCTTCAGCATCCTTCATCACATCATCAAGGTGTGAAGAAGGTAGCCCGAAGACAGGCCCTGAATCTTAAAAATACACATGGCTTTTGTACACCTGGGCATTTCTACCCAGTGTACTATAGAGAGGGGTATTTCTGAAGGCCTCTATGCTGTCCTTTTGAATAGCCTGGCTTAGTTTCAAAGGCTGTGCATTATAAGTGGCATGCTTCAGTGACGCCCTTCACTCTCACTGCTTACAAATTCAAAAGGAGTCATATATGAGCCTGAGAAGGCTTGGTTTGGTGCCTGTTTAGTGCCTGACATTGTGCCAGCCTTTCCAGGGATAATGGGAGGCATTATGGAATGTTTTCAATGTGTCAGGGACAGTACTATGCACACTGCATTCATTAACACAGTTAATCCTCACAACGCTCCAAATTGCATCCTATTATTATCCCCATTTTTACAGATGAGGAAACAGAGGCTCAAATGGGAGCGTGCCCAAGGTCGCACAGCTAGTGAGTGGTGACTCAGACTCAGCCTACTTGCTGCTAAGCCCTGTGGCACATGACACTCCTCACCTGTGGTTCCCCAAGTGTGTTTCCTGGACCAGCAGCATCAGCATCCCTGGGAACTTGTCAGAAATACACATTCTCAGCCCATTCCAGGGCTGCTGAATCAGAAGCGCTGGGGGAGGGACCCAGTCAGCTATTTTAACAATCTTCCAGATAATTCTGATTCATGCTCAGGTTTGAAAAATGCTTATTATTAAATAGGCATTATAAGGATGATTTATACATATATAAATATAAGTACACATATATGTAATTTACAAATATAAAGTACTGTCCTCTAAGCTGCCGGTCTAGTTGAGGAAGTGAGACTAGTGCATATAGAACAAACAACAAACAAAACGGGAAGATTAAAATGGAGTGCTCCCACTGACGTGTGAAATTTGTCACTCGATTTTACACTGCCCACTTCTGTTCCAGTGTAACTTCTGACCAGAAATTCAGTAAGAGAAGTAGGAAGAAAGCGATGCCTGAGTGCCTAGCAGAGTTAGATACCGCCCTGCATTGTATGATCAAATGAAGGAGATTAGCAAAAGGTCCGCAGAGATAGTGAGGAGTCAGGACAGTTGTCCTGAAGAAGGGGATGTCTAAGCTGAACCGAGAGGCTGGAGGAATGCTGGTGGGCAGAGGTGAGGGGGCAGCACTGCCCACCAGCAGAGGAACAGAGCAAGGGTGTGTGAACCCGCCATCTGACCACGGGATCAGCCCTGAGTGCAGAGATCCCAAGCAAGGTGTGCTTGAGCAATTGATTCTGACTTCTGGTCCTCTGTGTTCTCATCTGCACAGTTAGGGTAACAGAACTGTTGAGAGGATTAAAAGGAAATAGGGCAAATATCTGAGCTCACCTTCCTATGAGCCTAGTATACAGTAAGTGCTTGAAAAGTATTAAGTATTATTAGTGAATCCCTGGCACATAGGAAGCATTCAGTAAAAGTTAGCTCTCTTTCCCTACTGCCTTAATGTTGGGAAATAGTGTATGTTTGCCAAGTGACATGCAGCTTATCTTCATTTTAGGACAAGTATATGTTATCTTCTTAATCTGTATTTGTGGATTTTCCCCACTAGAACTTAGAATATACTGAGATCAGGGATTTTTTTTCCATTCTGTTCGTGGCTGTGTATCTAGAAAAGTGCCCAGCACACAGGAGGCACTCAATAAATATCTACAGAATAAATAAATGGATGAGCAGGTTAGAAGGTTTGGTACAAATGGCCTTCCCAGTTTGCACAGACAGTCAATTCTCAGCTTTATCTGAAGGACTGAGACCTCTTTCTGCTCATTACTTACTGATTTGTTCTGTGTTTGCATAGACTGATCCCAGGAGGGGAATATGGGGCCTTCCTGTCTCCCAGTTCCCATGGGGAGGGGTCCCAAGGGTCTCACGATAGCAGCTGTCGCAGGCAGCTTTCCCATGTTTGTGCTGCACAACCAAAGGGAAAGGAGCTAACTGAACCAGGCAGCTGATGATTCAGGGGAAAATGACAGTTTGGGCTAAATTACCTAGATATCTACCTTCACTGTAACTGAGGGAACCCTTTTCCAGCAAAGCCCCACCCTGGTTTCTGAAGTTGTTTTTTCCTGGTTAGAGGAGTTAGTGGGAAGTTTGGGGAAGGGGCAGAGGGTGGAGGATGGTTTCCCTGGAAGGATAGGCGTTAGCAGTGACTTCAGTGCAATGTTTATACACCCCGTAGATGCTGCGCACCTGCCCTTCTGAGGTATCTGGTCCCCCGCTCTGTAACAGCACTCCCTTCCTGCCAGGAACCCACCAAAAGGCAGGCACAGAGGCGGGGTTGGGGTATGTTTTGCGATCTGCAATTTGACAAATCGATTTGCAATCTCCTTCTGGCAGGTTGGTTTATGTTTCCTTAGGCTGTGCTCCTGGTTTTATAAACATTCAACTAGATCCTGCCAGGGCCAGCACAGCACTCCCTGGCCCAGGGCCACTGGCTGGATGCACCATTGAATTTTACAAAACAAAAGTAAAGCCTAGCCATGAACCTCCCCTAAGTTAATTTCTGTTATCATGGTTGGTGTCTGACATGAAAGAAACCCTTCCCAACAGCTGTCAGGCCTAAATTCGGACACTACAATCACATTGCATTGCATATTCCTATGCCTTTCACTGAAATCACCTTGAGTTTTTTCCTCCGTTGCATAGCAATAGAAATAACACACCACAGTCCATCAAGCCACAGATGTTGGCTTAGAGAAAAACCTCGGCACTGTTTATCCCTTGGTTTATTGTTGTATACTAAGTGCTTTCCTATCATTGTGCTGTGCGTTCGAACTCCTCAGGGTTACCCACCAACAGGAAGCAGGACTGTTCATTGTTGAAAGTCAGATGCCATATATGGCTTGTTTGAAGTCGCTTTCTTTTCCTCTTACCATGATTAATGCAGCTTTGGGGTTTCACTGAGTGATGCCTGACAGGTGCTGTTAGGAAAGACGATGTCACGTGGCCTTAGGAGTGAAAGCTGGTTGAGTCTCCTGAAGCTTATAGAGGTTGCCTCCTCCTCTTCCCCAAATTGCTTTCAGACAATACCTTCAGAGCTCCTGCCTGCAAGAAAAGACTGATTTTAAAAATACCTGAAGAAAGTATTCTTTGGTGTCCACCCAAAAGCTACACTTGTAGGTCTGCCCAGAAGGCTGATAGGGATTTCCTTGGCCTTGTTGCAGGATAGTCCTTATTTCTGATTTCCATCAAGGTGGGAAGAGAGTGGCAGTGGCCAAGTCTCCCCTAATGTGAACGAGAGGGCCCGGTGTTGGGAGGGGCAAGGACTCGCTGATAGAGCCCAGTGTGCAGAGGCTGGAGCTCTAGTTCCAGCCATCTGGTAGACCTGAGGCAGGTCTAGGCAGGTAGCAAATCATATCTAGGAATTCAGAGCCTGTAAGGTGGACACAGCAGTGCATTGCCTGGGGCTGTCCCTGGCTGTACTATTTGCTCGTGAGGGGAACTTGGTTAGCAAGTTTTTCCATCTCTTTGAGCCTCAGTTTTCTCACCCATAAAATGGACATGATCAAGTACCAGCAACAATCTACAGTCTTAGTGCAGATAAGGTGAGTAAATATATTTAAAGTAGCAAATACAGACTCAGTGTAAGATATTAGTGGTAGTCATATTTAAACACTGGAAGTACAAATGGGAAGGTAGACTCTAGAATCCAAGAAGTTCATAAAGGTAAAGAAAACTGGGGAACAGGCATCCCAGGTCTAACCCACCAAACTAAGTCACAAGAGTCCGGTCACTTATCAAAGGTATGAGCCGGAAGGAGAA